ATAACTGACAGATAGAGCACCTGACTTCATCGGAAAGATAATCATATTATTTTATATCTTAGAGCACATGTACTAGTAATGTGAATAGGGGGCTCAGTTTCTTATATGTGAGTAGGGGGTTAAGTTTTTCTTAAGTTTCCTTTGCAAGGCCTGTGCGAAGCAATTGAGGAGATGACTCAGCTGTGAATCCAGCAAGCAGAACCAATACGCAGGGTCCACACCATCTCATCCACAGCATCTCCTCACCATCATCTCAGCCACATCAGCTCATCGCCTGAGGACTAAGGACAATAGCTAACATCCATTCCCGCGCCCATCCCCTTCATAGTCCCGTCCCCTGCACCTGCTGGGAGGCAGGATTTGATGCCTGTAAGCGCCCTGTCTTCTTGGTAGGCTGGCCTTCTCAGTAAGCCCCTCATAGGATTCAACCCCACCTTCGTGATTGGACACAGTGACAGGGGTTTCCCAGTAACAATGAGGGCAGCAGCCAGGCCCTGGTCCCTCACATCCACTGTGGAGACTGCTCCTGTGCCCGTGGCATGGCCCAGCCCCACCAGGAACCCCACACCCTGTGCATGTGCTCCTGGAGGTGGCCCTTCGTGCCTTGAGCCAAGGAGCCTCCTGGGTGGGTGAGACGCAGAAGCCGCTTTCAATCAAATATGTACAAATATACTTTCTAATTGCACCGAGAAAAGCAACTGAGTGAAGTCAACAAGATATCAATTATCCAAATCTCTTTTTGTACAGAAATTCAGCCCTTCCATCAAACCTTTCACAGTGGTTTGGCTCAGATATCTTCAAAAAATCAGTTTTCCTCTAATTAAGGCGATAATGGTTGCTTTCCTCCGAGATACATTCCTAATGAGCAAACTAATTTACGAGTTCACGCTGCCCTGGGCATCCTTTCCGGGATAAACGCAGTTACCTGGCCCTTTGGTACCTGTCTTCTTTTTAATTTACAATTTGATCTCCATATAATTTAATATTAAACATTGCTTTGGCTGGCAGATATATTTAAAATGAATTTGTATTGATTAGCCTGCTTCTCTGATAAGCAAACTTTAATTCAGTTTCAGAATAGTAGGAGAATAAATCCCCATCTTGAAGTCACTTTATTTTGCCCTGGAAGATCTGTTTATTGTATTGTGTGCCCACCAACCGAAGCGTTTTGGTTGAGCGCCTTTCCAATGCACCGAAAGGTCTCGGGTTCGGTTCTCGGTCTTGGGTTCAGTTCCCAGTCAGGGCACATACTCAGGTGTCAGGTTCGATCCACAGTCGGGTGTGTACAGGAGTCAACCAATCGATCGATGTTTCTCTCTCACATCAATGTGTGTGTCTCCCTCTCCCTCTCTCTTCGTCTCTCTGAAATCAATAAAAATATTTATTTAAAAAGAGAATAAAATCTATGGAAAATATTTTGCAAATGTGAAGCTCCACAGAAATGCTAAATCCTTCACCAGACACCTTCAACCTGTCTCGGGAATCTCATGGATTCTTGGGACCTGTGAGCCCTCCCCAGGCCAACCCCACCGGCTCTTCTGTTCACAAGAAGAAAAAGCCCTCTTCCCGCTCCCTCTGCTCGGACCCTGGCCTGGGCCTCCGCAGGGGCCCCTCCCACAGCGCCCTGGGGGAAACCCTGCCAGGCTGCCACAGAGCAGGAAGCCATGTTCCAGGCTGGGCTACACACCCAGAGGGCCGCCCCAGGAGAACGGAATGGGAGTCACACAGGGCCTTTGAAATCTCCCAGAAACAAATTAAAAAAGGAAACCAAACCAGGTGCAATAACTCTAATAATATTGTTAGTTAAGCTAATTTGTCTAGAAATAATCATTCCATTGTTTACCCATCTCCACACAGGGATGAGCTCTTTTACATGATAGTTGGCACTAAATGTTCTACATTCAGGGTGCATTTTACACCTACACGGAAATAACAAAGAGCAACATCTCCACCCCTGCAGGCAAATTGTTCTTTAATTATGCATCACAGTGTGAGGGAAGCCGGGGTCATGTCTCCAGAAACAAAACGCAACCTTCCTGTGATTAAAATGCTAAGGAGGCGGGGAGGGCTCCCAGTGCATAAATCAGGCTGCCCTTGACTTCTCACCTCTTGGAATGACAGCGCCAAGGGAGAGAGCAAAAGCTGCCTCATCGTGTGTGACAGGGCAAGTGCATGAACCTCAACGCTGACAAAACTGAAGTGAAAATCAGGAATCGTTCCTGTTTCAAAAGGTTACGGTACTTAAAAGGTCAACGTTAAATTGGAAAAGATAGAGAGGAAGAAGAAAGACACAAGAAAACTTTCAACATAAAGGAGCTGGAGCTGGATACCCATAACTCTAGGTCTGGTGCTCCACTGAGGTCAGTCTGCACTGAGGTATCTAGATAGAGACGCATCTGGAGGGAGACCATCTGTGTAGACATCTAAACCTAGTGGAACCGAAGAACTTATATACTTAACTAGAGGCCCAGTAAACGAGATTCATGCACTCGGGGGTCCCTCAGTCCAGCCTGCACCCTTTCACAGTCCGGGAACCCTCGGGAGATGTCCGACTGATGGCTTAGGCCCATTCCCCAGACATCCTTAGTGCTGCTGCAGAGACAGGAGAGGCCCCCACCACCACCGCTGCACGTGAGCCTGGCTTCTGGCTGAGCGGCGCTCACTCTGGCGGAGCGCACTGACTGCCAGGGGGCAGCTCCTGCATTGAGCGCCTGCCCCCTGGTGGTCAGTGCATGTCATAGTGACCGGTCGTTCGGCCATTCCATCAGCTGTCGTCATTCCCCGCATCTGGACCACTTACACACACAGACTCGCATTTGTGGGAGAAGACAGAGGCGCTCTCTCACGGCTCCGAGTGACACCCCAAGTCCTGTTTGAGAGCCCGCCATTATGGAAATGACACTCCAGCGTCAGTGATTTTTAGGAAACCAATCCTTCGTGTTCCATTCATGCGTCACATGGCCATCAGGAGTATAGCATGATGTCATAGTCTGGTTTCCCAAGGGTGGGACCTTTACTTGTGGGAGGCGGTCGGTATGGATTAAAAGTCTGTGTTCCTCAAAACCCACGTTAAATGCTAACCTTGCAGTGATCGTGCTGGAAGGCAGGAACTGTGGGAGCTGATTAGATCACGGGGGTGGGGTCCTCACTGTGAGATTAGTGCCCTTTTACCAGGGACCCATCACTCCTTCCCCTTCTGCACATGAGTGCCCAGCGGGAACACGCCAGCTGTGAACCAGAATGAGGCTCCCGCCGGACGCAGAATCCATGGAGCCTGGACTGCGGATGTGAGAGAGAAATGCCTGTGGTTTACACCACCCAGTGCATGCTGTTCTGTGACAGTGACCGGGAACTGAACTGTGACCTCCTGGTTCATAGGCCGACGCTCAGCCACTGAGCCACGCCAGCCGGGCAGGAGTTTTTGATGACACAGACGTGCGTGAGGGCGAGAAGGAGACGCACAGATGAGCCTCAGGTTTCCTGTGTGTGAGCCCGTGGGCTGATCATGAAAAGGGGAAACTGAGGAAGACAATTTGGAGAGAAACAGCAGGAACACCATCGGTTTGGGACCATGTTTGAGACACCCCTGGGCGTCCATGTCACGGTGACACGGGCCTGGGTGCGTGCTCTGAACTGGAATTCTGTGTCGAAGATTCGCTCCCACATGAGCGGCTGTTCCCCCGAACCCCAGGCTGTGTCTTCCCGCAGGTTTCACATCGGGTGAGGCTGATGCTGCGTCCTGAGCGGCTGGCGGTCAGTGGTGGTCCCTCGGCCCATCCCAAGCACCTTGGCTCCCTCCGCAGCCAGGAGCCCATGGCCATGTGGCAGGAAGGCGCAGCTCTGGGTCGCGGGGGCAAGGCCACAGTCCACAGAGCCCCTGGCGCCCAGCACCTGTGGAGGCCACTGCTCCGTGAAGGAGGTGGGAAAATGT